CTTATACACACAATACCTTTTAAAATCTTTTTTTTTTTTTTTTCACTTTAAGGACATATCTTCATGCTTTTCTCTGCCACATCCTAATTGTTAGTTAGCATCATGCTTGTGTTTTAGGGTCATTGTTAAATAAGATAAGCTATACCAGACAGTGGATCTAATAACCCAGATGGCTAGTAAATGACCAAAGGGTTGGTAACTAGACACAGGAATGACTCAGGTCCTAGGTGGGACAGTAGTACTGTGAGGAATTTGTATGACATGCAATTAAAATCTTACAAATTGTTTCTGGAATTTACCATAGGTGACAGGAATCAGATAATGAAACTATGGATAAGGGAGCACAATGGTATTTAGTATTTCATATGTAACTCAGCATAGCAGATCAGGAGGTGTATTTTTTTTTTGGAGGGGGGTGGGAGGGGACGACAGGATTTTCTATAGCTTAAGGTGGCCTTGAACTCCTGGCCCTACTGCCCCTACCTTCTAAACATTGGAATTACAGGTTTATACCAGTATGGTTAGGTCAAATTAGGATTTTAAAGATGAGGAAATGAAACATTTTTGAGAGTAATAAAATAGAAACCTCACCAGTACTATTTGTTTTTTTTGTTTTTGGTTTTTTTTTGTTTTTTTGAGACAGTCTCTTTTTGTAGTCCTGGGGGCCTAGAACTTGCTATGTAGAGCAGGCTGTCCTCAAACTTGGAAGATCTACTTTTTGAGTACTGGGATTATAACTGTGTACCACCATACCGAGCTTAAAATTCTGATTTAAAGTTCAGATGTTAATAATTTAATGCAGAATAGTAAATATAAATATACATTTTCTTTCTTCCATAAAAGTTCTGTCTTTACTTTTCCTTAGTAGTGACCAGCAAGATATTACCAATGGGGAAAAAACATCTTCCCAGGTGAAAGCATCTGCCCAGGAATCCCGAAAACATAAGAAGTCAAAGAAATCCCATAAAAAGAAGCAGAAAAAACGGTCCCACAAAAAACAGAAAAAAAACAAAAAGGAAGCTGTGGACATAACAGCAGATTCCTCAAGTGAGTTCTCAGAAGAAACTGGAACTTCTAGTACCAGGAAAAGGAAACAACCACACAAGAGCAAGAAAAAATCCAGGAAAAAGTCTAAAAAATCTTTATCTTTGGGGAGAGAAAGGGCTACTTCCCAGTCAGATGATTCAGCAGCTAGCAGTTCTGAGGAAATCGAGGAAAGAGACACTAAGAAAACCAAACGGAAAAAGAAAGAGAAAAGTATTCATGTTCCTGTGGCTAACCCTGAAGTACAGGAGAGGACGAGCAAGCGCAGGAACTGGAAAGTGGCTACGGATGCAAGGTCTGCTGAAAGCTCAGAGGATGACTAAGTGGGAAAGTAGCAGTCCTGCTTCCCATGGACGCTGGTTGTCTGCAGCTCTTAATAATGGGGGTTTGCCAGTGACTCAGCACAGGAGTCTGAGGTCGGAGGTCAGAGTTGTCCTGCCACAGATACCTTTTTTCCTATTTTGGACTGTTAATCTCCACCCCCTTTTGTTGTTAGTAGGGAATCTGGTATTTTGTTAAGGTTTCTTGAAGAGATTATTTTTTGCAATTAATCACTTAGGGTAGAATACCTATATAGCAAATTAAAGAACCCAGAAAGCTGAAATCAGTAATGATCTGGGTACACCAATTGGAATGTTGGATTTGGGGGAATCAAGGGTCTGGGATGAAGGAGGATTGAAATAGTGCTAGATAGAATAGTTTGACAAGGAAACAATTGCTATTTATACAGGAGGTTTCCTGGCTTCCGCTTTGGTGCTTTGATTCTTCTATAGTTGGACCCTACAGGTATCTAATTTACTTAGTGGATAAATGGGTATAAAAACAAAACTTTTCCCTTCGTAGTAAGATCCACAGATGACTGCTAAGGAATGTGGGGTTTTCTGCCTAATTTCCCTGCCGGTCAGGGTCTACAGCTACATTTAGTATAACCCAAACATAACAGTAACTGGATAGTAATTGGTCTTCTAGTTTCATTGCTTTATATAGTGCCTAAAATGGGCTAAGTGTTTGAAATTATTTAAATGTTCAGTTGTCCTATCTATCAAATGGAAAGAATTAGGAAGTAGTCAGGTTGCCAATGATGCTTTCAAAGAGATTCAGGGCAACAGCCATCTAAGTGTTTTGTTTTTTTTTTGTTTTGTTTTGTTTTTTTTCCAAGTTGGGGATTGAATATAAGGCCTTGCATATACTAGGCAAGTGCTCTACCACTGAGCCATACCCCAGCCCTGTTGTTTTCCCTGTTCATTTCTAATTCTATTAACGAATTTTAGATTTTCCCTGAAACCAGTTGAATCAATTCCAAAATGAAACACGCTTCTCAGGGATATAACCCCCTTCTTCCCAGTCTTACTTTGTGTTATGATTATCAAGAACATATTATTTCTCCCTGCTATACTGTGATCCTGATATTAAAAGAAACCAAAATACCACTGCAAAGTGGCTGGTAGAACAGTTAGTTGACTTTTCATTCAGAGGAAAGGTAAAGTGACATTGTCAGGGTTTTTGTTTTTGAGGTCGTCACTTTTGGTACTGAGTAGAAAGCACAAAAACTCAGACCTAAGATTGTGTGTGGGTCATGGTTCTGCCACTAATTGATTGAGTTCTAGAGCAGGTTAATTTAACCTCCCTGGCCTTACTTTTTGCATGTGTAATACAAAAATACTTCATGGTTAGCATGACAGACACCAGCAATAGAATATTACTATGCTGACATCCCATGAAGTGGCATTTTATAGTTTTAACTAAATTCGTGCTCTTTATGGAACATACTTCTAATAAAGTACTTGTTTTTAAAATACATAGTTGGCCAGATGTGCCCTAGCCCTTGATTATGAGCAGGTGCTACCTTTTGGGATATTGAAACACTACTTAACTTTGGTACTCAAATGTCAATGTTCCATGGTATGTTTTTTCTTTGGGTTTAGTAGAGGTTTAATGAGAGGAGAGTCTAGTTACTACCTCATAACCTTCTTGAAGCAAGTGAAATCTTTGTTGGAAGTAGTTTTGGGCATGTATTTTTAAAGCAGTTTTGTGCTACAAAAGTACTGATTCTAAGCACAGACTCAGGAACATGGTCCTGCAGAATAAGGCACTTCCAAGAAGTTGGTTCTGTTTGGGTCTTGACCTTACCTTCCTCCCATACTAACAGGCTTTTTCTCTTCTCCAAGAAATGCACATTTTGCTTGATTTTTTTTTTTGCCCTCCCCCCCCAACCATGTTCATCTTTTCTCAGTCATATAAGCAATAAAATTGTTTTCTGTTGTAAACCTTTCTTACCCCTAAATTCCCTTCCATGCCTTAGGCTAAGGCTTTGATAGTTCCTCTAATCCTCTTAAAGATGGCTTAGGGTGACTTTTCAAAACCTGTGATCTCCCATTTTCATTACCAGCCAAGGAACATGTCTTTTCAATGTTCTGTCATTCAGAGATCTTTATGTTGGTTCCTAAACTGGGACTTAGAACAAAAAGAATTAGAGACGTCACATTTATTAACCGGTGTGATACAACCTGGAATTACTGAATTCCAATAAATAAATTTCACTTTTGGACATTTGATCTGTTACTTTTTAGCACCAACAGACTTGGTAGCTGCCTGATGCTAACTCAACATGTTGACAACTCTCCACTGGCCATTCAATCTGCCTAGTAACAAGTCTTTTGGATCTTCTGTCATTCCTGAGGTATGGCCTACTGCCCTCCTTTCTGTACGATCTGGGCAAACCGACCGGTGATAGCAAGAGTGGTGTCAATGAAGCGGTCCACACAGCTAGAGAGGCAGTTTTCAGTGCGGGAGTCTAGCCGATTTCCTGGCTTCTCCACACACTTATCCCAACATAGTTCCATGAAGTGATGCACCTATGAGGAGAGAAAAACCTTAATCACTGAAGTCTATAGATATTTTTTATTCTGTGTCTCGATAACAATCACTTTTAATATATTGTGCATGGGATCACTTTGGTGTCTAGTCACCAGTAATTTCCTCATCCTTATATACCGTACTATCGTTTTTCAAGACAGGGTTTCTCTGTGTAGCCTTGGCTGACCTGGAACTCGCTCTGTAAACCTGGCTGGCCTCAAACTCAAAAGATCTGCCTGAGTGGATTAAAGGAGTGGGCCATCACTGCCTGCCCACAATTCTCAAAGCAACTAGCACTATTACAAAATGGGAAGAAGTCAGGATCTAATTTCTCCAAATTGAGCATGGTTTGGAATTGTACCTATAGACACATAGTGATATTACTTGGGAAGCTAAGTACTAAGTAATCAGCTCTTGAAATTCAGGACAGCTATCAGTATTTCCAAGGTCAGCAACGGTTAGCATACTGATTTGAAGTACGCCTGAAAACGCCAAACCCTACCTTACCGAGTCTACACTGATTATTGCAGCGCTCACCTTTATCTAATAATGATCATCACTTCCAAAAACATCACATGATTCAAAGCAGAGAGGCAGCGGGCAACAACGAACTCCGAACTCAAGGTGGGGACCGGTGTCTTCCACACAGGCCCTTGAATCTCAAGGTCGGAACCCAGATATTCTAATACCATTCCGTACCAGTGGCCGGCTAATATGACCACCATGTTCCTCTGTCGCCCAAACCTTCCCCCTGCTTTGCACCTCTTTCGTCCCACGCAGCACTAGACTCCCGGACAGTGAACACTGTAGGTCCACCAGGGCGGGAGGAGCAGCCGGGATCCAGCATCGAGTGAGCCTGCTGTGCTGAGAGTCCAGGCCTCCGTTGGTGCTCAGGGCCTGCGCCTCACCCTCCTTCCCTTGTCCCTCATCATCGTACCTGCGCAGTGAACTGCGCCTTCTGCTGCTCCGCGGCCACCAGGCGCTGTAACTCCGCTTCGTCTGCTTCACCAAGCTCGGCCATGGTCGGCGTGAGTGACTCCGCTGGTGTGCGCACGCACGGTAGCAACACACCGCCTCCCCCCTTCCGGTTCACCCACCAGGTTGCCCTGCCCTTCTTTCAAGCGGGGCGGGGCTTGCTACACAACTACTTCCGGGTTGTTGAGCGACCTTGAGCCCTCGTAAGCGACATGGCGGTTCTCTTAAAGCTGGGAGTCCTCTGCAGTGGCCAAGGAGGCCGAGGTGAGGTGTCTTGACCGTCAGAGGTTCCTCCTGCGACCTAGAGCAGGGGAAGAAAAGGAGTGAGGGCTCGACCACCAGGTGGTGGGACGTCATGAGAGGAAGGAACTTCTTCCTCTTTGGCCCCGGAGTCGCCTACAAGGACGCAGCCTGGACCGCTGTAGCCCGAAGGCCCAAGTGGTTACCTAGGGCCTGCTCTCCCCAGCTGGCACTTCCAGCCTCCGGGCTGCGGTGTGCTGCCGGGCTAATGTGAGTGTGGGTGGAAGTAATCCGTTTGGAAATCTTTTGAGACAGCGGCTTGCTGTGCAGTGCTGGCTTTCCTCTTATCTAGCCATGTAGATCAGGCTCTGGGTTTTCCGGGAGCTTCCCGACTGTTCCCGAGTGATTAACAGCCACGCACCGACACTCAGGGCTTCCATAATCATTTTAACCAGGCATTTTGGTTATACAAGAGGCTGGTATGCAAACACGAATAAAACAATTTCTGCTCTCAAAGAACTTGGGGGAGGTGGTACAGATAATGTAACGCAAAAACTGCTGTGCTGTGTAGACATTGTTAATGTGAGTCCAGAGAAAGTTTGGGGTAATTGTTTTGGAAGGACTAACCTGGCTTGGCTCTGCAGAGAAGTACATTATAGTCAGCAACCGAGAGCAGCAAAAGCTGTGGTGAAAGGATACAAATGTGCTTAGCATGCACGAGATGTGAAGTGTGAGATAGAAATGAACAAATAAAATAGTATGTTGAAAGCCAAAGTGTGAAATTAGCCTAGAAAGGTGAAATGAGCTAAATCACAGAATTTACTTTATAGTATTTGGAAGATACAGAATTTCTTTGTTGCCCAGGTTGGCAGTAACATTGAAAGGCTTGATAGGTTTGCAGTGTAGGTTTATTTTAGTTGTTATTATTGTTCCTTAGGCTGGCTGAAACTGGTTCTGGCCCAGCCTCCGAAGTAGCTGGTGTGTACCACCTTGCCTGGCAGTCTTTTTCGTTTGAATCCAGCATCTCATGAATGCTAAGCACATGCCCTTTTGCCAAACTATATACTGTCAGCCTAAACTTACTGTTTAGTAACAGTATCACCATCAAGGATGGCTTGATGGTGATAGAGCGGGTTTGGATGCAAGTCGGGGAGATGAGATAAGTCACTGTTGTGGTAGACTAGCCTGGTGAAGTCCTGAGCTTGGAAGGTACAAGGAAAAGAAGGCAGTCTCAGGAAATGTTAAAGAGATATGTCAGTAGGATTTGGGGACTTACAGAAGGGAAATCCCTGACTGGCTATTGGCTATTATTGGATTTCTAGAACAGATATAGGAAGTATTAAAAACAATTCCACAGTTGAATGGTTGGGAAGTACAAAATGATTGGAATAACACTTCACAGAAGCAAGGAAAAAGAAGGAAGAAAGAGCAGGAGGAGCTGGGCTGCAACTCCGTTGGTAGAATGCTTGAACAGGCCTACGATTCTAGTGCTTGGGGGTGAGGAAGGAGGATCAGGAAGTTCAAGGTCATGGGCAAGGGAGAAAGAGTGAGGAAAGTCTCGGAGTTAGAAGCCAGCCTGGTCTGCATAGAGAGTTCCAGGCCAGCCAACACTATAAAGTGAGACCCTGTTTCAAAAAACAAACCCCACCTCCAAGAAAAAAAAGAGAGAAAATATTAAATTATTATTTTTTGTGTGTATATATGCAGTTAGCATTCTGGGAACTCATTTATCCTTTGCATATGTTGCCTAGTTTTTAGCAGTGTTATGAAGTTAATGCAGTTGTTGACTACTGGCTAATTTTTGCCTACTTGATACAACTTAGAGTCATTTGAAAAGAGGGAATTTGACTGAAGAATTGTCTCCTTCAGATTGACTTTTGGCCATGTGTGTGAGAAACTGTCTTGATTGATGGTTGATGTGGGAGGGCCCAGCCCACTGTGGACAGCACTGTCCTAGGCACTTGTGCCTTAGCTGAGTAAGAAAGCAAGCTGATTGTGAGCCAGGTAGTAAGCAGCACTCCTCTGTGACTTCTGCTTCACTTCCTTTGTGTTTTCTTGCTCTGATGTCCCTCAATGATGGACTGTGACCTGGAAGCACAAGCTAAAATAAACCCATTCTTCCTCCAAGTTGATTTTGGTCATGGTATTTATCATAGTAACAGAAAGCAAACTCAACATTCTTCTTCTGCAAATGAAACCAAACCTTAGAGAGCTATTTAACTTAGCTGCTCATTAACCAATAGCTAATCTGTGATGTAGCTGAGTGAACATCAGAGGCAGGATCCAAAAGGAGACAGTAAGGAGTTCGGGAATACAAAATGAGCTTTGGTTTTGAAAAGGAAGAGGGCAATAGGTGAACTTTCTAAACTATGTTGACTATCTTGAGGGCAAAGACGTTTGTCCTTATCTTTCTTGCTTCATTGCCAAGCACAGTATTGATTGTAGTTAATACTAGATAAGTAGATGAGTAAATGAACAAGAGGCTACCAGATTTTGTTTTTTGTTTTTTGTTTTTAATAAATGAAAGCAAAGTGAGTTATTATTATAAGAGTCTGCAGATTTTTGTTGTTCTTGAGACAGGGTCTCATGTAATCCCATGCTGACCTCCAACTCCATATGAAGATGAGGATAGCCTTGAATTTCTGCTTCTGATTGTCATGTGCTGGGGCTGTATGTGGTGCTGGAAACAGCCTCATGCATGCTAGGCAAGCAACTGAACTACATCCCCAGCACAGATTTTTTTTTTTTTTTTTTTTTTTGTAAATAAAAGTTTGGAACTGGAGAAATGGTTAAGAGCAATGACTCCTCTTTCAGAGAACTTGGGTTCTCTTCCCAGCACCCACATGGGGGCTCATAACTATAACTCTAGGTCTAGGAGAGGTGTAACTCCAGTTATGGGGAAGGATGTCTGTGGGCACCAGGCATGTACATGGTACATGGACATACATATAGGTAAAACACTCAGACATGTAAAAATAAATCCTTTAAAAAAAAGTTTATGATTTGAGTGGCATGTTCACGGTAGTTTAGAAAGTCTGTTGGTCCTGCTAGGAAGTGCTTATGATCCCTGTTTTACCTCCTCAGCTCTGTTGCTCCGAAGCCGGGTGGTCAAACCTGCTTATGTCTCAGCGTTTCTCCAGGACCAGCCTACCCCAGGATGGCATGGCACACAGCACATTCACCTGTCACCAAGCTACCATTGTATGTTCTCTCTACCGATGCCTTGTGAACAATTTTATTTATTGTTTAACAATTTTATTTATTATTTTAAGTGTATGGGTGTTTTGTCTGCTTGTCTTGTCTGGGTACTTGGCTTGCCTGGTGCACAGAGTCCAGAAGAGGGTTTTGGGTTCCAGACAGTTGTGTACAGTTACTGGTGCTTCAGCCATCTTTATCTGGACAAATCATCTATCTGGACTAATCATCATGTATTTGGCGGGTCTTGGTGTCTCTTGGGGAGTCTGTCCTGTCTGCTGGTTAAATGAAGACCTAGTTTACACTCCTGGGCAGATGGTGCAAACATGAGTGATGATGCCATTTGTATTCACAGAGAATCTTCTGGCCTAACTTCAAAATTTGTTACATTGCTGTCAAGAAAGCAGCTCTGTAGGAAGTCTGTTCAGTGTAGCTCAGTTACTGGGGGTTTTGTTGTTGTTTTGTTTTGTTTTGTTTGTTTGCCAATGGAGAGGAGCCAATTGTGTACTAAATCATGGATTTACAGCTGGAAATTTTTTTTATGTTGATTAAAACCATATGGAATTTATTAGATAAATACTGTGTGGATAGTCACATTAGACAATCTGAACATAAATAATGAGTTAACCCATATTTCCATTTTTTAAAGTCTGGAGAGAGAGAAATAATTATTTTGGCCTGGCTTGTCTGAAAATTGCTTTGTAGTCCAGACTAGCCTCAAACTTGCTGCATTCTTAAAAATCATGCATTTTTATTTGTCTTTTTGTTGTTGGTTTTTTGTTTTTGTTTTTGTTTTTTGTTTTTTTGAGCTAGGTCTCAGAATGTAGGTGAACTCAGTCTGTATTCCAGACTGGCACAGTCCTCCAGCCTCAGCCTCCTTGGGGCTGTCATGCCTGGCCTTTAAGATCAGTATTTGTAAAGTGTCTTGGTTTTTAAGTTTTACATTTCAGTCCTTCCCAATTCTTAAATCGGCCACTTAAGAATTAGAGAGATTAGAGCTGTTGGGCTTTTTTGCCTTTTAAACCCTTTTTGTTTTCTACCAGTTTTCATTTCTGGATTCCTTTGTTAGATTTAGTAGACTGGTTCTGGAGTACATGGGACTGAAGAAAGTTTCCTAAAGTTGTATGCTTAGGTCTTAATGTTTATGCCCATGTGCATTTTTCTGGGTAGGAACTCCTTCCTTTTGTCAGGTTCTCTGAGGAGTTTATAGCTTCTTAGAAATGCTTAGAGCCCCTAGATGGTGGTGGTGCATGCCTTTAATCCTTGCACTTGGGAGGCAGAGGCAGGTGGATCTCTGTGAGTTTGGGGACAGCCAGAGCTCCACAGTGAAACCCTGTCTCAAAAAAACATACATACAAACAAACAAAAAAAAGTGAGGGCAGAGTAAGGAAGTCCATGAATGCCCGAATAAAAGAATAACAAATATTTATTTGGGGAACACTCATACAATGAAGATAAGGAGCTTCCATGGTCTTTGCCCCTGGAGGTTCAGGATGCGGCGATGCAGAATGTGCTGTGATCAGGTCTTAGACCACCACCTAAGAGAGACCGAGAGAGAGAGAGACAGAGACAGAGAGAGAGAGAGAGAGAGAGAGAGAGAGAGAGAGAGAGAGAGAGAGAGAGAAACTTCCTCTTCATTATAAGGGATCACATCCGCACGCTGAAGCCACACTCTTAAGTTCGGTACCCTGAAACTACTGGTGGAAACAAAAGAAATGCTTAGAGCCTGTGTTGTTTTCCCCTTGTCTAAAAGCAGTCTTTGTGTTTTATTTGTTTGGCACTGAATTGTAAAGAGGAAGAAGGACTATAACCTTAAAAGGTATTCTTGGATCCATGTTTCTCTTTCATTTGGCTGGTTTAAGCTGTTTTTAAAACATACTACATTTTCTCCAAAGATTAGACAGTTATTAGTATTATTATTTTAAAGCGGTCCATTAGTGATCACTAAATTACATTCATAATATGCCTGTTTGACTGAAGTCCAAGGCTGCCTTGATTTCACAGATGTGTAGCCTGCCTTCTTGCCTTTAAGAAAATGTATCTTGTGCTCAGAGACACGAAGGATATGCTTATTGTCTGATTCTGTGTTCAGAATGGGTCTGCCAAGTATACTATTTACCATCCTGATAGTTTTAATAATCATTGGATTTGTTGAAGTGGTTGTCTTTCCTCAACTCTGTGAATCTCCTCATTTTTATAGCTGGTTCCAAGGCTGCATCTCTCCATTGGACTAGTGAGAGGGCTGTCAGTGTTTTGCTCTTGGGCCTGCTTCCAGCTGGGTACCTGAATCCCTGCTCTGTGGTGGACTACTCCCTGGCTGCTGCCCTCACCCTGCACGGTCACTGGCAAGTACAACAGTCCTTCCCCATTATCTGCTTGTTCTGTTTGCTGCAAGCCTGTCTGTTTGTTTATGAAGAAAACATTGACTGAAATTCTCAAGACTTCTGGAAAACTTAAAACATACAAACAACTAGCAACAGCCAAATAAATCTGGGTATGTGGGTAGTTTATTAATATTTAAGTTTTTTGAGTCAAAGTAGCCTAAGCTGGCCTTAAACTTTAAATTGTCTTGACTCAGTCTCACGTGCTGGGACTACATATGAGTCCTTCTGTCTTAGCTACTTCTCTATTGCTGTGAAGAGACACTATGACCAAGACTTTATTTGGGACTTACAGTTTCAGAAGGTGAGTCCATGACTGTCATGGTGGGGAGCATGGCGGCAGACTGGCAAGTGTGGTCTGGAGCCAGAGCTGAGAGCTCACATCCTGATTCATAAGTAGGAGGGAGGGAGGGAGGGAGGGTGGGAGAGAGAGAGAGAGAGAGAGAGAGAGAGAGAGAGAGAGAGAGAGAGAGAGAGAGAGAGAGAGAGAGGCACTGGGAATGGTGAGAATCTTGTGAAACCTCCAAGGCACCCCCGGTGACACTTCCAGCAAGGCTACACCTCCTAGTCCTCCTCAAAGAGTTCCACCAATTGGGGACCAAGTAGTCAAATACATGAGCCTGTGGAAGCCTTTCTCATTCAAACCACCAAAACCACTACCACCACCTCCACCATCGCTGCCACCACACAAATACACACCCACTTGTCTCATTTCCAGCTGCCCCTTTCAGGCACACTGGCTTTCTTAATATTCCTCAGATGTGCTGGGGACCCTCCACTCTCTTCATGTTCTGTGTGAAACTTTTACTACTTATGTGCTTGGCTTGTCCCCCATCTTAAGATGTTGAACATTGCACTCTCAGCAAAGCCTTCCGTAACCACTTACTCAGTTGTCACATTTGTCATCTTTTCCTTAGGAACACTGCTACATCTATTTACTATTTCGTGTGTTTGTCCCTTCCTACCCTTCCTGTCTATAATTAAGTGCAGATACAGAGCTGGTCAGGCAACTCAGTTGTTACAGTGTTTGTCTTGCATTTGTTAAGCACTGTGTTCTCTCCCCACCATTCCAGGCATGGTGGTGCTTGCCTGTAATCCAGCACCAAGGAGGAGGAGGCAAAAGGATCAGAGATTCAAAGTCGTCCTTAGCAACATAGCAAATTTGAGGCCATAGCAATATCTCATTACAAAAAAGAAAACTGTAACAACAAAAAAGAAAACAAAATGTGCCTGCATTAAAACTTACACAAGAATGTCATAGCACATTACTTAAATTAGTTAAAAGTGAAAACCATCCATGTGGCCAAAATAAAATATAGAGTATTATTCAGCCACATAAAGAAATGGAGTACTGAGGTGTGCTGCAATATGGATGAGGGTTGAAAGCAAAATCATGCTGAATAAAGAAGTATGACACAAAGGTCATAGTTGATTCCTGCATGGTCTTATTTGTCTGAAATGCCAGAATAGGCAAATCTATAGAGATGAGTAAGTCAGTGATTGGGTGGTGAGTGGGCTAATGGCTAGTGCTTCTTTTGCATGTGTGAAAATGTTCTAGAATCAGTGATGGTAGTTCACAACTTTGACTGCACTAAAAAACGGACTTGTATACTGTTACAAAGGTGAAATTTGCTTGGCGTGGTGGCGCATGCCTTTAATCTCAGCACTCAGGAGGTAGAGGCAGGTGGATCTCTAGGTTCAAGGCCAGCCTGGTCTAGAGAGTGAATTCCAGGACAGTCAGGTCTACACAGAGAAACCCTGTCTTGAAGAAAAAAACAAAGCAAAAACTGCTGTAGAAATAGTAAAGTTGGGTCACTTCTTATTTAGGATACTTTCTGCTTAAAACCTGGTGTTTCTTTGGGCACTCTGCAGTCTGCCCCTGCTTTATTATGGTTTCCATTTTACTCACAGACTCCAGCTATTCATTAACTTACAGTTCCTCAGAGATGCCAGGGTCCTTGTCACTTTCCTTTGGGTGTTCTTCTCTTTCAAGTCACCCTTCCTAAGGTGTTCGCTCATGCTGCATATGTAGCCACTTACTTTTTTTTTTTTCTGCTTCACTAGAATGTCTGTTTCCACACAGAGGGAACATCCATTATCTCTTGCACCCTCAGCATTCATGACATGTTGTGGCAACAATGTCTGCTTCGTAAACTCTTCATGAGTGAAGATACTGTGGAACATTTGTTTTAGTTAAAAATGAAAAGTAGAGTTTCTTTATTATCTGTTTGCTTATTTTTGTTTTTTCAAGACAGGGTTTCTCAGTGTGACAGCGCTGGCTTACCTGGAACTCACTCTGTAGACCAGGCTGGCCTTGAATTCACAGAGATCCTCTTGCCTCTGCCTCCTAAGTGCTGGGATTAAAGGCGTGAGCCACCATTGCCTGGACGAAAATATTTTATAGTAGAGGAACATTTAGTTACTGTATAACAGCTATGGAAATTAAATTCACAGGATGAGCTCTCTTTATTACATATTAGCAATTATTGATTGCAGTTTGGTTTCTACTGTTGTTGGGTTTTTTTTTGTTTGTTTTACCATGAGTTGCTTTGGCTTGCTGTCTCAAAGCATAGAAATAATCCCACCTGTAAAAGTGGCTACATAGAATCCCTGGAGGAAGCAAACAGTTATTGGAGTTATAGATAAAGACTTTGTGTTTTGAGACTGACTTTTTAGGTGAGTGGGTCATGGCTTGTCTGTATGGCCTCTAACTGCCTGTGCTGTGACTTTCTTTTCTTTAGGGGCCTTGGACAAGTGGTGACTGACTACATTCATGGGGATATATCGAAGAAGGCTGTCAAGGCAGGCCTCTTGGCGGTCTCAGCTCTGACCTTTGCTGGGCTTTGCTATTTCAACTACCACGATGTGGGCATCTGCAGAGCAGTTGCCATGCTGTGGAAGCTCTGACCTCTGCAGTGCAACACCTTGGATTGTATGCCACTTTGCCTCTGCTCTGTCTATGCCGTTCAGCTCCCAGTGAGCAGGGCGTGGAGAAGTCCATTGGTGTCAGAATTTCTTCTAATTACATGGTTATTTTGAGAATTCATTTGTTGATGGAAAGGTTTAAGAGGAGTTAGGCTCAACTAGTGCTGAGTCTGGGTTCCATATTCCTGAGTATGGTGGTTGCCTGTGCCAAGACTCACAGTGTGAGTGCACATTTCATGAGCTCATGTTGCCTTTAACTACCATTTCCTGAGCAGAGCTCCACTTTATTCCTGCACTACTTGGACTTGGAGGGAGGACTGTTCAGTCATGAAATTGTAAAGTATTCCATTTGGAACCTCCCACTCTGTTCAGTTGTTTAACACCAGCTATTGATGTCTCTGAGACTAGGGAACTTCAAATCAGGAGATGCTGATATCCCAAATTATTGATTATTGTTAAGTCTTAGGAAGGAAAGTGAGGAAAACTGAATTTAGAGAAGTTCACTTTAGGGAGTTGTCCTTTGTAGGTGGGTTAAAATATGACAGATTCTAAACAGGCTTGCTCTTCAATAAGTGTCATCTGTGCAGAAATAAGCTGTCCTCAAAAAAAGGCTGGGTAATAAAGTGTTTTCCCACTGTGGAGATGGCTAGTGACAAGTTATACTCTGAGAAAGCAAAATTTTTAAATAAAATATTACATAATGAATATACATTCTACTTTTTTATATGCTAGTATTCCTAGTGTCTTTTTTTTTTTTTTTGTCTTTTTTTTTTTTTTTGTCTTTTTTTTTTTTTTTGTCTTTTTTTTTTTTTTTGTCTTTTTTTTTTTTTTTGTCTTTTTTTTTTTTTTTGTTAGCTTTTTTCTTTTTTTTTTTTTTTTTTTTTTTTTTTTTTTTTTTTGTTAGCCGTTTACTTGTTTGTTTGTTTGAGATAGAGTCCTAGAGGCTTAAGCTGATCTGGAACTCTTTATAGGTAGAACAGGCTGGCCCGGAACTTGTAGGAGACAGAGTGGCCTCAAACATGTGGTGGTCTCTGCCTCTCGAGTAGTGGAGTTATAGGTGTCAAGTGCTAGGGTTATAGTTGTAAACCACAAAACTCACTTATTTTATTTTAATTTGAGATGGTATCTTAGTGTCTTGCCCAGGGTAGCATCCCAATCCTAGTCTCAAACCATTCTGTCTATACTGCTATGCCTTGCTCTGGTTTTAGTCATTAAAACTGTGTTATATGGCCAGGCGGTGGGGGCGCACGCCTTTCATCCCAGCACTTGGGAGGCAGAGGCAGGCAGATCTCTGTGAGTTGGAGACCAGCCTGGTCCACAAGATCTAGTTCCAGGACAGCCTCCAAAGCCACAGAGAAACCCTGTCTCAACACCCCCCCCCAAAAAAACAAAACAAAACAAAACAAAACTGTTATGTCCCAGCCTCAGGAGACATAGGCAGCAGATCTCTGAGTTTGAGGCCAGCCTGGTCTACAGAGTGAGTTCCTGGTTGGCCAGGGCAACTCTGTCTTGAAAAAAACCGAAAACCAAACCAAACTAATATAAAAACCTGTTTTGCATTGGGCAGTGGTGTTGCACACCATTAATCCCACCCAGCACTTGGAAGGCAGAGATAGGTGGATCTCTGAGTTTGAGGCCAGCCTGATCTACAGAGCTAGTTCCAGGACAGCCAGAAACACAAAGAAACCTTATCTTGACATACTTCCCCCCAAAAGAAAACAAAACAACAAAGAAACTGTTGTGCCGGGTATGGTGGTACATTCCTCTAATTCCAGCTTTCTGAGAGGCAGAGGGAGGAGGATTGGTTTGAGTTTAAGGTCAACTTCAGCAAGTTCCAAGCCAGCTTGGGCTACATAGTGAGATTGTTACTTGCAGTTAAGTATGACTAGAATATGAAGATTGAGTAGTAGGTGTTAGTACTAGGGTGTTCTGTGTGTGTCAAACCTTCTAAACCCCATGTTCTAGCTGCATGGACTCGATGGCTTGATGAGTATTAACACTACATTTCACGCCCTGGGGACTTGCTGGGTGGCAAGGCTGGGAAGTGTTTGAATGAAAGGGCCATGTGATTTCCAGGGACCATTTGCAGCATGTATCAATATGTCAGGTGACATGATCACATGGTCAGCAATACCTTGGACATTAGGGTAGAGAATTGGAAAACTGAAGAGGGGCTGGTGAGATGGCTCATTGGGTAAAGGCAGCTGCTCCCTCCCGAGCCTAATAGTCTGAGTTTGATCCCAGGGAATCACATGGTAAAAAGAAGACTCCTATTGTCCTATGACCTCTGCAGAGGTTCTGTGACATACATGAACCACCCCCCTCCGAAAAAAGAAAATATAATTAAAAATCAGGTGGAAGAAAAGGCCCATGAGTGTGTTTAACTGCCAACTGTGTCAACCTAAATTTATGCATCAGGCCCCACGGAGTTTAGGGAGAAATGACCCTTTGTTTATCCCTTAAACTGCTTGAGCGCATACAAACAAATAATAAATAAATGTAATAATAATGGCAAGCTAAGAAGGCAGAGTTCAAGCATGGTAGTGGAAAGCCTACCAGCTGTCTCCATCTTGTCCAGTGCCAGCCTTCTGTGGCCAGATTCAAAGTGAGCCAGCAATGGTCTTGTGGTCTGTGCTAAGACTCCACAGTTGGTGGAGACCAATTGGAAGGTTAAAGGTGATCCACTGACCGGCTTCAAAAGGAACACAGAGCTGAAAGCAAACTGGCAACAGTAAATTTAACAAGGGAAGCTGATGGTGGTCATGCTGTTAGTAATTCCTTCCTGGCCACAAAGCTGCAGGGATTGTGACTGATCTGTGGTAACGATGCCTTCTTAGGCACGTGCAGAGTTCTAGCCACATAGTGACTACAAGGCAAGCCTGAAAAGAACTGTTAAGCATGTACTTACTTTGTGTGTGTTTGCATGCAGGGTGGCCACACTCCTGTGGAGGTCAGAGGGTGTCCTGCTAGAGTCAGCTTTTCTCACTGTGTGGGTTCTGGGGACCCAACTCAGGTCATCAGGTGAAGCATCAAGCACTGTCACCTACCGAGCCATCCCCCTGTCATAAACCATATCTTTTTTTTTCAAACTTCCTTTAAAAATAGAAAATAGATTCTTCTCTCATATAATACAACCTAATCATAGATCCCACCCCCACTCCTCCTAGCCATCCCCCAATCAACCCTCTCCCACAGATCTACTCTTCCTTCCTTTCCTCTTTAGAAGGTAGCAGGCCTCCAAGAGAGGACAGCTAACAGGTCAAAGCAAGATAAAATAAGGCAAGGTGAAAGCCCTCATATCAAGTTTGGATAAAGTAACTCAATAGGAAAAGAGTCAAGAGCAGGCAAGAGTCGGAGATGCCCCAGCTCTCACTGTTAGCAGTCCCCAAAACACCAAGCTGACAGCCAAACGATATATGCAAAGAGGCTGGTGCCATTATTATTTGTGTGTTTAAGTTTTGCTTGAATGTGTGTATGCATGCAAACCCTCTCTCTAAGGACAGTGTCCACCCATGGAGGCCAGAAGAGGGCACCATATACACACATATTCTCTCTCTCTCTCTCTCTCTCTCTCTCTCTCTCTCTCTCTCTCTCTCTCTCTCTCTCTGTCTCTGTCTCTTTCAACCCCCCCCAAGCATTGCCCCATGGAAGCCAGAAGAGGGCACCAGATGCCCTGGAATTGGATTTACAAAACTAACCTGGGTCTTCTGGAAGAGGAACAAGTGCTCTTAACCACTGGGCCATTCAGAATCCCAAGTAATATTGGATGAAGTTCCTCCTAGGTTAGCCTGAAAGGGTAGAATGCTGGTTTCATGCCAGAGGCCCATGTCACCCTGGGAGGAAGGCAATGTTGTCTCCTTCAATAGTTACAAACTCCCAGGACACCAGTTTTTGTTTTTGTTTTTTGGTGTGTTCCTCAGGGTAGATGTATAGTCTACAAAGTAGTTTATACTTTTACTCTATTGAAAGTGTGACTTTCTATATCCTCTTCTATTTCCCCTGACATGGATGCCTCGACCCTCAGGGCGCTCTGCTACATCCGACTCTAGTGAATTGTCCTCAAGCTCCCTTCTGCTTTGGAATTGTTTTGTTTATGAGATAAAGAACTTGCAAAGGGGACTCAGTGCCTCCATTATCACTTTGCATCCAAGTCAGGATGCTAAAGATGACAAACACAGAAGAGCCTGAGTCCTAGGTGACACCCCTGCACTGTCACACCATCTGTGTCTGTCTGTCTGCAGACAGTGCTTACACACCCTCTTCTGCAGTTGTGCTGTGCTGCTGGAGTAGGCAAGTGTATTATCACTTGCTGGCAAAGGAAACGACCTAATGTTTGCAGATATTCCGTCATTCATTTACTTGGTCCTCTTGTTTTGCATCTCTAGCTTGAATCTCTTGTCTGTCATAAAGAATGATGTGGTGAGTAGCCTTAGGTGTGTATCTTGTCTTGTGGTGGTTTCATCTTTGTCCTTGACATCTGTATTTGTGGAATTTATTGAATTTATCTTCTGTTGTTTGTGTGTATATATGGGTGATAGGGAGAGCATGTTTGTGCACATGTAGACACCAGAGGAGGAGGGTGGGTCTTTTCCTTTGTTGCTCTCCACCTTATTTTCCAAGACACAGTCTCTCCCTAAATTAGAAACTTACCATTTTGGCTAGGCTAGCTGCCAGGTGAGCTCTGTACTGTGGTTACTGGCATGTACTGCTGTGCCTAGCATTTACATGGATTTGAACTCAGGTTCTCTTGAGTGGTCTTATCATTGAAACACATTTCAAGCCCCTGAGTTTGATTTTTGAAATTTCTGTTTGAGACAGATCATGTTCATGGCTTTGAACTTACTGTGTAGCCCAGGTTGACCTCAAACGCCCCTTGGTCCTCTTGCCTCAGTGTCTTGAGTGCAGGGATTGCAGCCATGTGCCACCAGAACCAGTTTTGATTTCATTTTTTTTTTTTTTTTTTTTTTTTTTTTTTTTTTTTTTTTTTTTTTTTTTTCAAGACAGGGTTTCTCTGTGTAGCTTTGGAGCCTATCCTGGCGCTCGCTCTGGAGACCAGACTGGCCTCGAACTCACAGAGATCCGACAGCCTCTGCCTCCTGAGTGCTGGGATTAAAGGCGTGCGCCACCAACGCCCGGCCAGTTTTGATTCTTTATGATGTGTTTTTCTTTCTCTCCTTGTGTCACAGCTGCTTCACCTTTTAGCTTGTAGTTTTTCTATGACTGAGTTTATGTCTTCAGATACTGTGAATAAAGAAGGATGGGAGGGGCTTAACTAAAGCATTTATCTAAATTGTTCTGTTATTATAAAAGCTCTGGAGTCAGATATTGGGGTAGAAACCTGATAGTTCAAGCAGTGGAGAAACAGCTGACCCTCAATCTCTGCACTTTCCAGATGGAAAAGGCCTGTGAATCTTTGTAAGCCCCTCCCTACTCTTTCCTGTGCCTCTTCTATGGTATCATACCCTGGGTCCCTCCAAAATCTCTATGGCTAATTCCAGTCAGCTAGTCCTTGACTCCACTCCCTGATTCAAGGTTAACTTTATTAACAGTTTCAGAGTGTCACAATATGATCGAATAGCCCATAACACTTAATCACTGGGATGGCTCTTGTAGAGAACCTGGGTTCAATCCCAAGCACCCACATGGTGACTCACAACCCTCTATAACTACAGTTCAAGGGGGAATCATACTCTCTCTTTTGGCCTTTCT